ATCCTTTGAGAACCACTCATTAAATTCATCATGTGAATCAAATAGTGTTGGCATTATAAAGTGCAGCAGAGCCCATAGTTCAGCCATACTATTTTGTATCGGTGTGCCACTCAATAGTAGGCGATTTCGACAATTAAAGCCCAACAACAATTTCCAACGCATTGAGGACGCACTTTTTATTGCTTGTGCTTCGTCTAATACCATATATTGCCATTTTATACGATTAAAATATTTATAGTCAGATACAATCAGCTGATAGGATGTGATAACAACGTGAAAACTAGCGTCTCGCGTATGTAAATCTTTTTGTTCCCAAAATTGGCGTAGGATTTTACGTTCATTTGGTGAACCCCAATATGGAACTACATTGAATTCTGGTACAAAACGTGCTAACTCCTGCTGCCAGTTGTGTAAAGTTGACGCAGGTGATATAACTAGAAAAGGACCCCAAACTCCATAGTGTTCTGCTACATGACAGAGAAATGCTATTGATTGTACAGTTTTACCCAAACCCATTTCATCTGCTAATATCCCACTTATGCCCTGGTCATAAAGATTAGCCAACCATGTCATACCTGTAAAATAAAATAAAAATTATATGAATAAATTTATATCGATGGAAGTGTTTACCTTTGATTTGATATGTTTTTAAAGTGCCTTTAAATATGGTCGGTTGGGGCAAGTCTGCTTTTACTGGAGGTCCAGTTATTTCATCGGTTTTCATTGCTTCTTCTTGCTCTTCTTTTATCCTTGTTGCTACATCAAACTGATGCTTTAATACTCGATCAGTATTAAACGCTGTCTCTGCATTCTTTTGTGCCAGCTGTTTCATGTGTTCTGCGTCATAGTCATCATATGCAGCAAGACGTGGATTCTTTTCGTCATCCAGTTGGCTTAATATACGCAGTTGTTCTTCTTCAGTACCCTGGCCGAGCTTTTTAGACATAAAATGCGCGTACAGTTCAGTTTGAGTGATAAGGAAATTAAGTTTACGTTGTTGTCGTTTAGCTTCTATGATTTCAACATCCATTTTACGCTGTTCTTCAGCTTCACGTTCCATACGTTTCCTCGTATCACGCTCAACACGTTCATAACGTTTCCAATAGCCCAGCATCTCTCGTGAGAGCCGTTTTGCACGCCACACAGTTTCCTTCATAACACGTTGCGATTGCATGGCACGCTGACGCACTACTTTCATGCACATACCTGCAACTCGCTTGCTGCTCTGTATTACTTCCTTGTGGTTGTTAATCCTCAAGCGATGACAGCGAGTTATTTCCTTTTTACACATTAATTGCCAAACGCGTTTTCTACGTGCCGCTAACACTTCAGGAGACGCCAACAAATTTCTACGACTTTTGCTACGTACGGCTGAGCTATTTGCTTTGCTAGATAGTGCAGCACTACTATAGGCATCAGCTTCATCAGATAAGTCATCATCATTCACGGCTGAGGTATCACCGAAAGCATAGTTCTTTAGTTCTGAAGGATGAATTTCTCCAGATTCAGGCTCATCGTTTGGAATGTTTTTGCGAGATTTACGAATTTTCGTCAGTTTTTGTAATTTGGGTAAGGTTGACTTATTTTCATTCTTTGCACGTCGTTTACGCTTGCGCACACCAATTATAGACTGCTGATGGTCGGGATGCATGTCAATGCAGGATAGAAAACCACTTCCGTAATAGGTATACTGATTGTTCTAAAGATAACATATATATATTTAATAATTTGTACATTAATTAAAAATTTAACATTTTATTTATTAATTAAATTGTAACGTACAGTAGGGGTTTTATAATAGCGTTCACGTTCCTTTTGCATTTTCCGATGAGATTTCAATAACTGCTTTATATAATCGTCCTCATCGCTGAGTTCTGACTCTGATTCAGTGTCACTTAATACTATGGAAAACAACCATTCACGATCGTTGCTCAACTCAGAGAAGTTATAAAGGTGCATTTTTATATTTTGACGCTCTAGAAAGAGTTTAATTATAATAATTAAAGGTTATAAAATATTAATTACTGATGACTTTGCTGCAATGAGTTAGGTTTTCACGCATGCAAAGGAAACAATTTAAAAGGCTATTCTTTTATACCTATTCTTGAACCAAACAATTTTTTGCATTTCTTTCGATTGGTTCCATTTTCTGATTCATTATCGGAGCAGGCTTCAGTAGAGTCCTCGGCACTATCATCTTCACTACTTAATGGTTTGGCTAAAATTTCACGCGCATACTTCATAAATGGTTTCATATCCAATGCTCGTTCTAAGCGTTGCAAATGCAGTGGTTTCGCCATAGCCACAGTTGATTCCCTGATTTGGTGGGACTGCCTACTTGGTTGAGAGAGTGTTCCACTTGCTGTCAATACTTGAGCGCCGGTCAAGCCATTAACATTAGTTTTTGAAATATTCATTTTCGCTTAATGTTCTTAATTTACACTAGAAATTACATATAAAAATTGGTTAAGTAATCGTATGTGCACTAATTCTTCATTAAAGTAAATAGTCACACCTTAAAATAAATATATATTTACAATCAAAACTTTGGACTTAATGATTTCCGTTAAAACTTTGTTGTACGTTTTACTTCCGTTTAATACAAAATTCAAATTCAATTTTGAATATTTTTTAAAATAATTATTGCTATATTTTAACTTGTAATAATATCTGAAGCACGCTTCTGATAGCCTTTACTTTTCGACCTTTTTTCGTTATGTCAAAATTACTATAGGCAGCTATTTTATGCATGCTTATGCCGAGCAACAAAACAAAAATTAGTACAAACGAAAGAGGAATATGATTTACTTAACTACTAACAGCTGGTCGCAAGCGATAAATTGAACGACGTTCGACGAAAAAACTTGCAGAGTTGCATTTGAGCACGCATAAGAACTGTGTATATTTTCAGTGTTGAAAGAAGCTTTTTATAACGCATTCAAAATTACTTGTCTTGTTTTTACTTATTACGACTGTGTGCGAGTTCGAGTAAATTGATGGTAAATTAAGATAAGTAGTCAATTATGTCGATATGGCAGCGAATGTTGGTATTTACTAGAATTTCGATAAGGGTAAATTAGGTGATGTTTAATAAATAAAAAAAATAAATGTGAAAACTTTTAACTAAAAATAATAAAGAAGTGCAATAAATTTATAATTAAATATTTACATAAGTACAGTGCAAAAAATCTCTAGAAAATTTCAATTTACTTTATCTCAATTGACTTAAACTCACACACGGCCTATGAATGTTAAA